ATGGAAATTCTCATCTTCATATCATTGTGTCATCGTGAAAACAACAGTTTCTCAGTTGCTATGAACAAGTTGCAAATGCTTTGGTACATCCATGCAAATGATTCTGTACAATTCTCTCATGTTAAATGTGTCTTTATTGAATAATCTCGCCCCCACAACATTTAGACATTAGCTCATCGCTTAAGTCTTTACATGCAAAATGGTTGAGCAAGTCATATTTCTATACATGCCAAAAATGTAGCCATGGTTTACATCAGAACATCATCCAGAATATATGGTTATACTGACAACATTAAAAATCATTCTGACTGTCTTATCCGTACATAATGACACAAAGACTTGACCTTCTGATGGCACTGACACATTCATTGACAGAAATATAGCTTTGAGAGGTTGAGCAAGAAACTGTGTTTTGGAGGTAGACTAATTCATGATTCCTTGCTATTTTTTGTACGCATTGTTTTGAAAATACATTTACTGTTTTGAAAATATTGAAAACGATTTGAGAAATATGCATGAAGCAAATGAGAAAACTGTAAACCACACTGAATAATTGGTTTTACAACCCCAATTCCAATGAAGTTGGGATGTCGTATAAAACAAACAAAAACAGAATTWGATGATTTGCAAATCCTTTTCAGCATATATTCAATTGTCTACAATACAAATACAAGACATTTAATGTTCAAATGGACAAACTTCAGTTGCTCAACAGTTCAGGGTCTCCATTGTCATATCTTGTGCTTCATAATGCTCCACACATTTTCAAAGTAAGACAGGTTGTGATGGAAATATACTTTTTGRTCTGTTCTTATTCAGAGCAGTAAGTTATGATATCTCCTACTGGCCAAATGACATCAGCTTTACTGTGTTTTACTCTGTTCTTTTTTTATGGGAAGATGTGAATTTTTTTGACCAGGACAAGATCTGCTGTAAGTTGTCACTGTTATTTTTATCTCGGCTCAGTACAGCACCTGGAATGAAGTCATTGTCTGTTAAGACAACATCTGTACATCAAACAGTATACAGTATATAGTCAGCTGTGATGGTTCTGTGTTGATTTCTGTGTTCCTGTTTATTGCACTCTTTCACTACAAAGCCACACTTTTGTAACGTGTGCAGAATGGTCCTGTCTTGCTGAAATAAACAGGGGTATGTTTGTGAATGAGTGAAGCAAAAACATGCCCCAATAAAGTTTACCCTTTTGAACATTAAKCATCTTGTCTTTGWAGTGTATTTAATTGAATAAAGGAATTGCAAATAATCGTATTCTGTTTTTATTTAGGTTTTACGCAACTTCCCAAATTATAGGGTAAATAAAATGACAAAAGATATGTTGGACCTGAGTCCAGGCTCAAATCATTCCAAAGWGATGCATTAAAAGGCACATGTGTCTGATTGAGGCGTGCACAGTCAATGAACCCCCGAGCAGACATGTTAAATTACAGAAGGCAGCAGACTGAGACAGACTAGGGGGTGAGGGGGTGCTGTCAAAGTGTCTGACTGGGGGGTTGTTTGACCATGGGCTTGACTGGCCTGCAGGACTGGTTTCTGGCACAGTTTGGCTCAGGTCTGGCTGGAGACTGGCCTGGGGGTTGGGKGCGGGATCCCCATTCTCTCTGCTTGACACGTCTCTGTGTGAGGCAATAAGAAGCGGCTTACAAAATAGGCAAACAGCTTTCAGACAAGCCAAACAGCCAACTGGGGGAGGACGGATGACCTCCCCTCCCMCCATCTCCTCTGACTTTGACCCGCGAGGTCCTTCTTAACCCGTTTCTGAATGTGAGTCAGTGCAGCTAGGGTGTCTGGYCTTGCACCCTCCCCATTCCTTTTTTCCTTACACTCCACGATGGAGGTGCTGTCTGCTCATTTGAACGGTTGTATTGAATATTYACGTGGCTCTAAAAACTGTCATAAACATAAAACTCTATGCCGTTCCAATTTAAAATCTGAGATTTTTTTCCAAAAAAATTTAATTTTCTAGTCTTAGTTTCAACTCCCACGTGTTCCTCAACATCTCCAAAAATCAGAGGTGTAAAGCAACAAAGTAAAAATAGTATTTTTACAAAGCAATTCAAAGCAATTTTGGTTATTTAGACATTACTTGAGTAATTATTTCTCAGCTGATTTTTACTTCTTTACATTTTTGTGCAAATAACTGTACTTTCTACTCCTTACTTTTTTCAAAATACATGCAATCGTTACTCCTATATCTTATATATGGCTAAATAGATGGGTGGTTAGATAGTCAAGTAGCTGGATGGGAAGGTACATGGGTAGATGGGTAGATAAATGAGTTTATAGATGGGTAGATAGATGGGTAGGTAAATGGGTAGATAGATGGGTAGGTAGATGGGTAGATAGATGGGTAGGTAGATGGGTAGGTAAATGGATAGGTAGATGGGTAGACAGATGGGTGGGTAGGTAGGTAGATGGGTAGGTAAATGGGTAGATAGGGGTAGGTGGACAGGTAGATAGATGGGTAGATGGGTAGATAGCTTGGTCACTAGATGGAAGGTAAATGGTAGATAGATGGGTGGGTAGGTAGATAGATGGGTAGGTAGATGGGTAGGTAAATGGTTGATAGACGGGTAGATGGGTTGGTAAATGGGTAGATAGATGGGTAGATAGCTGGGGGGCTAGATGGGTAGCTAGATGGGTAGGTAGATGGGTAGACAGATAGATAGACTAATGCATCCCAAAACTTTTTAACATTAACATTATATTATAACGTTACTGTCATTATGGCCTTCATAAAAACTTTCTTAGGGAGGTCACTTCCCAATAAATGTTATTTTGGAAATTCTTACCACTCACTTTTTACTTTTACTTTTAAAATGTAAGTTCACTGACTGACGTACAGTAAATGTCAGACTTGTACTCAAGGATTATTCTTAAAGGAGACTTTAACATTTACCAAAGTAATTTTATGGTAAGATTCTTGTACTTTTACTCGAGTATCACTTTGAGGTACTTTATAYAAGACTACCAATAATCCATTCAGCCTGGGCACACACACACACATATATGGTATAATTTTACAGTGTGTGTGTGCTCATTCTGAGGGTTCAAACCACACCACCTTTACATTTTCATTATGGCCAAGTCTCAGGCCTATATTCTACCAGCGTGGCCTTTTGCTTTAGGAGTGGGCAGTTTAATCACACATACGGCACGGTTCCATTTTCATTTCCTTTTCATGCAGCCTTTTTCCCCACTCCAGCTTCATAATTCTCCCCTCTGAGCTGTCGAGGCCTCTCTGAGTGTTTGCAGCCTGTTGAAATGACATAATCAGTGACTTGGATAAATGCCTGACTGTTTTTCCTTGAGTCTATAATCAGACTTGGGGCTCAGTGTTGCAGTTATACAAGGAAAAGCTCGGCAGCAGCTCTTGAGGGGGGAATTTCTTCCTAAGACAGGGATTTTTAGCAAAGAATGTGCTCAAGCATTAATGAAATGAAACAGGTTTGWTATCTTTTGTTGCTAACAGGAAAAGAGTCACATTTTGTTCTTTTCCACAATTGCATTACATAAAATAGTTCTTTTTTATTTTATTTATCATGCACCACTTTAAAAGGTGGGTGCTAAAGTCATTTCATGTGTGTGAGTGTTTGTTTGTCTGYCTTTGTAATTTCTCATGAACCAGTTAATGGATTTTRAAGAAACTCTAAAAAGRTAATTCTTTGACATTCAGCTATAAATGAYCATTTTTTGGAGTCAACTCAATCCAAGATGGCATCCACAGCTCATCAACCTTAGCAAGAAGAAYGACTCTAACTCAGTCATTTTTACAGTGATCCAAATTTAGTGTAGTAATAGCTRAGAGTCATCCCCAGCATATAATTTGAGTGCTAACAAATTGGGCAAGACATTTTGGTTAAATCTTGGCCTAAAGCTGTTGGTGTCAACCCACTCTGTCTTTTAGCAGAATATTTTAATAACCGCTGGTCAGACTTCAATGAAACTTTCTGAACCTAACCAGTGGTTATGCATTTACAACTGATTAATGTTTGGAGTCAAGCCAAGTCAATATGACCACAACAGCCCATCAATCATGAAAAACACAAAACTAGTTCCATATTGGTCGAATTTACATTTATTAAGCTAAAAATTTAGTGTGATAGTAGCGGAGAGTAATCCCCAACAAAGACTTTGAGCACTAATAAATTGTGAAAAACATTTGTTTAAATCTTGGCCTASAACTGTTGGTGTCAGCTAAGTCTGTCTGTTAGCAGAGTATCTCAAGAACTACTGGATGGATTACAATGAAATGATTTAAAAAATCCCTGGTTATACATTTACAATTTAGAGTCAAGCTGAATCAAGATGATCACAACAGCTCATCAACTATAAGAAACACAAATTGGCTATACTTCAGTCAAATTTACAGATATCAAGCTAATATTTGGTGTGGTAGTTGCTGAGAGTCATCCCATCACATGTTTTCACACTAAAAGATCACGGAAAGTTTTTAATTTAAAACTTAATCATGGAAATCATATGATAGGCATAGGTGATAAATTTAAACAAAATAAAACATACTTGAGAGAAATTATCTTCTTATAAATATATGTGAACATTTGAGCTTAATAAACATCAGTTTGACTTTAAAAGTTTACAAAAAATTTTCTCTTTTGTGGTAAATCTAAAAACCAACCAATTTCTTACTACGTTTTATTTCAGTCTCATATGGGACCAAAAAGCAGATCACTTTGGTTATATCAGAAGAAAAATAGATGTGTAAAGCAGCTCTGGACCAAATGAGTGAAAGCTGTAAATGCTTTCAGCAACTATTACTTCAGAGGGTGGAGCACATTCAATCAATAACTAAGCAAATAAAAAGCAAGGGGCAGACAGAATGAGAAAAGCTGCAGTGGACTGGATGACAACTCACACAAATGAACACTCAGCATTCAAGTTGCTCTGTGAAGAAAAAACAAAACCAAACAAAACAAAAACATGAAAGTACTTTGGTTTGTGTGATAAAAAGACAAATTTACCTTGAGCTTTCTGCTTCTCACTGTACTTCATTCTCTATGAAAATTAAAACACAAATCATTACGAATACTAATTTTTGTCTATTAAACCTAAGTAGCTATGATGGACATAAAACCATAAAGCAACTAGCAAAAAAAAAAAAGGATTTTCTGGTGAAAACCTGTAACCTCAAAGCCTGCAAAAATACCCTAAAATACTAACAAAATCTGAAACTAAAGAGTTTCAAACTAACACAAAAAAATGACAAAAGACAAGTGTGTTTGTCATGCACGTGTTCTGCATATTAAATTATAAATAACTGCAGCAGTGTAACACACACGGCCATTGTCATTAGGGTAAAAGCTTTTAGCAGGGCATGGAGCCCTGAAACACAACAGCATGTGTTCATTCAGTATGAGGCAGGTTACTGTACATGTGGCTCACTGAGTGTAACGTTCGTCGGACATTTAATAAAGAACAAAGCACCTCCATGTAATTCTAAATAAAAAAGCAAAAAAGGTGAATTCACAAAAAAGGAAATGTATATAA